CATACATTTCTTTGTAGACGCAAAGAGCCATGCAAAAAACTAAATATTTTGCTGTACCATACATATGACTATTCCGTCCATATGTAGGGTGCATTACAGCGAAAAGGGGAAAATGCCCGCAAATCCTTGATACATTCACAAGCTCATAGCTTATACTTCTTTTAACCAATTTACAAAGTTAAATGTACATGTACATTTCCCTGGGTTAAAAAATGTGGATTTTAATTAATTTATGTTTTAAATTTCTTTCGGTACAGAGATTTAGAATGTTTGATTGAAAATAGCAATTATAGTGCAGATGAATACAAAATACAAAGGTTCAAGTGTTATTAAGGGGGCAACACGTGTACATTTGGAAATGTCTTTGCTCAAAGTGGAGAAGCATATAATATATCTCCTATTCTACAAGAGGTCCCATACCAGTCGCCTAATACGACTCTGGAATAAAATACAGCAAGTCACTAGCCTAACCTAAAGGGGACTGTGCATACTTGAACCACATTATACATTAGGAGGGAGAGTCACAGGGTTGTCAATTAGGGAATAGTGACACTAATAGCGACTGTTAAAATTAAGTTAATTAATATTTCAAATAAAGCTGATGGTCGGTAATATAATCACTTTATTGTTGGCGTACCCTGACATACCCTTTACAATGAAAACACAGTGTTACTCTCACAAGCCATGCTTTATTCTTGTTCTAATTCTATTTGAGAAGGCAGTGTTTTTTTTGTCTTCTAGTCCTAACGAAAAGGATTCATGTCTTGCTATCAAATCTCAAATTTTCAAACTCACATAGGTACTGGAGTATCTAGGAAATAGTAGTTTACCTACACACTTGTACATAGGAGAGATTTTTGAAATATTCGGACTTTCAATGCAAGAAATATTTTGAAGTAAACGATATGTCTGGCATATTCGAATGGCATTTATTGAATTTCATAGTTAATAATATGGCAAAATGATTTTACAGAATTCATTTGGATAATCAAGCACGTCTATATATTCTCACAATACAATTGTAAGAAAGATAACTCGCTTATCTGAATAAAATGTATTTTACAATGCACAACGGATTTATCTTGGTTAAAAGTAGAATAATGATATGATCTAGCTAAGATAGATTTAAGCTAATTTTAAAAACTTTCCTCAATCAATGTTGAATTCGGTGCATGAGTACGATGGCCGACAGCGGTGGACACAATTCATTTTATACTTACACTGTTTTGTACCTAAATAATCTATGAAATTTAGTACAAAACATATTTAATTAGATCAACTAAATGCTTTTCGACATGGCAAATTACCTGTTCCAGTCTATTGCCATTTCGAAAAATCTTAAACGGTCAGAAACACTGATCAAGTTATTACATTTACCTGTTAGGTAGAAGATTCAAAGTTAAAAATAAATTTGATCTTTCTATACTGTGATAAATAAAACTTCTTGTTATTTTCACGCTGTTTGCACAACCAGAAAGCAGGGTTTAATGTAAAATATAACAAATAGCGAAATTTCCTATTGTGGCGTCTCAATAGCCTTGACGTGCTAAATACAAAAAAATATTCACCTCACTCTTAAAATAAATCTCTTTTTTCAAGGCAAAAAAAATATCCTCTATAAACTTCCTCAGATACATCATCGATCAAAATGTCCATAACAGTAATTTCATTTATAGGATAACTCACTTACATGTTTTTAAATCAATTACTTGTGATATAACTATTTTTCAAGCATACCAGATCCACAGAGCTACCACGTATATTCTTGTAGAACTAACATTCACTCTCAATCTTCGATTTCATACCCATTTGAAATAAAGAGCAAGCGAATCTCTTAAACAGTATATTTGGCAATTGAGCTAAATGTCTCTATTTTTTTTGACAGCATTTTAGGCACATTGTGGCTTAGTGACTTGTTTACAGTGGTTAAGAGTGGAGACACCGGCCATTTGCAAACTTTGAACAAGGAATCAGATGTTTTCGAAAGCTCGCAAAAATAAGTTTTCAATTCCTGTTTGTGTTTTTAACAAACCTAGCCTTTAGTATAATTTGTCATTTAAGACTTGTTTTCGTGGACGATATCCTAAACCGATCTGGATTCCTATCAGTCGCCTATGAAGACTATGCAAAGGGTGTACAGCAGGTCTATTGTTGTAACGTATCCGAGTTTGAAGGTGAAGGTACATAGTATATATGCAGGAGAAGTTATGAAGTTTATTTTGTTTAGTGGGAGGATAGATCGACATATATAACATTTCATTTCAATATTTACAACATTGGCCCATAGACAATTGCTTCCCACCGACACATTTGTGCATCGTATAGAAACTTTAAATTCTTAAAGTTTTAATACATCAGATGTATTTTGATGTACATAATATGTCCTTGGCATACTCAAAATGCATTAATTGACTTTAATAGTTGATATAGCAAAACTTAGTAAAACTTACAATCGTAAGAAAGATAACTCCTAAATCTGAGCAAAATGTAATGAACGGTTTTACAACGTTTCCTTGGTTATCAAGAAAGCCGAATTGGTTTGCAAACAGACAATGTATCAGTGTTTGCAGAAAAGGATTTAAGTTCTTCGATGGTTTGTCTGCGGGCACATCTACAGACCTATAACGCAAAGTGTTGAATGTTGTGTGGACATCGGGGTCAAAGAAATACACTAGTTTTGTTTTTGTTCCTTTCACTTTGTATTTCAAGCAGCTACTTTACAAACGTTACCGTGACAAATAACAAGTAACCGGCATTTGAAAAAGCCTTCCCTCGACCTGCAAGATATCAAAATATTCACCACCTCCGCCTTCGTGAAAAAAATAACTTATTTATCATTAAACAAATAATATCCTCTATACACGTCCTTAAACATCGCCAATAAAAATGTCCAGGACAACACTGATCATTTCTAGGATGACTCTGTGATTTTGTTTAAATCAATCAGTTGTGAAATAACAGTATATTTTCAAACCAAACAGAGCCATTGAGTATATTCTTGAAGGATACCTAGTCAACTAACATTCCATCTCGGTCTTCGATTTTCCCCGTAATTTAAAAAAGAAAATGAAAAAAAGATGATGTCCTAACGATTTGATGAATATTTCTCAATATAGTCTGAAATTAGAAAAAGTTAAATTTATACACATCTCACATATAATGTTGACAACGAAAATTAAAGCGATGACGCTGTGTCGGATATGGTCTAATTAACATTAAATTTGAGAGCTCTGAGCGGTTGACAGTTTACTCTCGTTGGTGTTTCGGGCTTTCCTTTCAATCCCCGCCTGTATAGGACGTCATCAGTTCTGTTCAGATAACGTTAGTAAGATGTCTGCTTCTCTTACACCTGTCTGCTCTGCCTTCCACCTGTCATAATCGCCGGGCGAGTTCGATTGACACGTTTATCAATACAGATGCGTTCGTATAGAATGTACTATCTGTTATCATATCACCTGCATTGTGCACGAACAGGTATGTATCTTTACGACGTCGATAATTAACAGGTGAAAATTATTATAATGATGACACGACTTCCTTAATAGATAAAAGGGTTCCAATGGGTTAACGATATGTCCAAATATTACTGATCATGTGGCGTTTTATCAGGAGCCCGTCCTATATACCTGTACAGATAAAAACAGTTCGTCTTTCTATTTTTACTAAACATGATGCTTTATTGCTTACAAATGAATTCTGACTTATGCTTTTTTAAGCATATTATGTTTTAACTTTCAATTAAATATCTTATAAATAAGCCACGTAAATGTCGAGCTATATATATAGTAAGAAAGACAACTCCAATACATTTACATATTTCCTAAAATAAATAAAACGTATTCTATAAGATTAAACACCTTTAGAATATTTATATGATATGCTTATGTTTCGATTTTTAGCTATTTTTTTCATGACACGTGTAATTAATGTAAATGTGTATATGGTAGATTGCAAGCAATTCGTGAAATTCATTTTTAAAGAACTGCAAATTTTAAGAAGCAGTTGTTACTCTCATTGTACCTTATATTTGCTAAAATTTAGATTGGTTTCACTGAAAATGTTCCTTCTCTGTTGCAACATGACATAAACGGAGTGGAGAACCTTTCACATGTACATCAGAATATTGACACACCAAAATGGCGGTGGATTATTACCGTATGTGTTATAACATATATTTGTGATGACTAGTGTCCAGAAATAGGTATATATGCCAAACGTAGGGTTTTACTGTTTATACTCCAGGTAATTCCTTCAAATATCATTTCCAAATAACAATTGTGTAGTAACCTTTGTGGACCAGTACGAGTACCTCGGTATGACATATGCGTCAACGGATGTTTAACTGTTGTCAGAGAGGAAGGCAGTAAGCAGATTCATTGCTAAGGCTTGGTAGCATAATTTTACAAAGACAACACCAATACATTTTGCGTATTTCCTAAGATAAATCAACTATATTCTGTAAAATTGTAGATGTATGAAAATGTTTAAACTTTAGAGTAACGATGTTGTTTGTATATATGATTATATTTCATTTATTTTTTTATTTTTTTCTACACGACACATGCAATTTATATTTATTGTCAATGTCAATTTAATGAAATTGATCGTATGCATGGATTTAAGTTTTAAAGAATTACAGCTACATGTATGAGTTTAAAGCGGTTTGCATAATCTAGTAATTCAAGTACATGACATTTTGCAAACATGAAGTTGATAGGAACGTGTGGGTATCACTGAAAATGTATAACGTTTATTCTTTTTCTTTCCTAACACGACACGAATACATGTATGGTGGAGAACTTTTCGCATGCCAGGATATCGAAAACCAAAATGGTTGTGAAAACGCAGCAGGTAGGGACATTGCATTTGCCAGTAACCGTATGTGTGTTTCTAATGACTAGTTTTAGCTGAAAAGTACACGCAGATCTTTTGGCATGTACAATCTATCGCAAAAACAGAGTCATTCCTTATGATTTCGTTTGAAAAACAAACTCCTTTCGTTTTTAAAGTTTATTTTTATTTCTTCATTTTTGATATAAAACAAAATGCAATGCGCATTGCTTTTTAAATCGTCACCACTGCATACATGGGCATAACTTAAAATTTGTTAAGGCTTGTAACTGGCAAAAATCAGAATTTGTGTAGTACATGTAGCTCCATAATCCCAGGCTATAATAAATGGTATCTGGCTGTGATCACTTCTAATTCTGCACGTTGTGCGGATCATGTCATGCTTATGTACATACCTAGACTGGCTCCTCGTATCTAGAATATTAAAGTATTAAGAAAAAAAGAAAATTCTCATAATTTTGTTCATTTAGATGACTGATTCTAGAGTTCTCAAACTAGGTGGAGATAATCTGATAGTGAAATACAGCCAGTTAATTCTTCATAAAAACTTGGGGGCTGTTTGCCAGTCTAGTACATAACACGTTCATGCATCGTGACCAAGATAATGTTACTTTACTATATTACTGCACACACTTTCTCAAGTCTGTTATTCGAGCGATGTAGCCTCGTTTAGATCGGTTCCTTGGCTTCCTTGATGAATGTACCCTGTAGAAGGGCACCAGAAACTCCATAAAGAATACCACTAGCTGCTGCTAAGGCGAAGGACCAGGACAGAGCGACCTTGACACAGATACCGTAGATTAGGACGGACAGCAAAATACATCCACCTGTAAACAGGTCAAGGACAAACACATATTAAGTATGGCCAGGTCGCTCTCGCAGTAAATAGGGTCACGTTTAGAATAAAAATGCGTCATGTTTAATAAATTCAATCCTTAACTAAAGTGAAGGAATAATTACGCAGCTTTTACATAGGATAAGATTTTGGCGATTGCGTGTACATACTTCTTGATATTTCTCATAAAGTTACAGTATAAAGTAACAGCTGATGTAAGTATACTCTAACAGTTCACGAAAAAAAGTACGAATTTACTTATAGTTTAACAGTATATAAGCATTTATATAGAAACTCATTGTTAGCTAATGTAAATATATACTTTAGGAAACTGTCGATTTGATACATTACTTACCAGTAACAATGCTAGAAATGGCAGAAACTAGGAAAACAAGGAATCTCCTCCTGAAGTCGGCTTTGAAGATGTAGCAAAGTAAGGTTGCCATGGCAATACATGATGTCAGAAGAGCAATACTTTCAAACGCTCGCACCGCTTGAAGCCAATCTACAAAATAAATAAGTATCACTCAGTGATTTGTTTAAGGTTTATTTGGGGCCTTTACCTCCCCCGGCTAATTTTTGCTGTTTTTTTCCCAAAATCAATGCAAACAATCACTTAATTTCCCAAAATCATGGTTTATGTGGGTGATATTTTTCCAAATCAACAGGCACAGGCTCCTGTGGAAAGGAAGTAGAAAAATCACTGATCACAAATTATGCATGAAATAACGGTAACCTAAGTATCATAGATAATCCTGTTTTCCATTTTTCTCCGCAATAGCCCCATATTAAATATATTTAGAATTTACTCTATCTGTTCATATCAATTTTGTTTATTTTTTTTTTTTAAATAAAATGTTAAAATAAAAATAAGATGAAAAAATGTATAAATTAATGCCATCATGGTTTACATATTTCTAAGAAGATCTAGCGGGAATTCATCAAACTGCCACTGCCACTATACGTGAATTCACTATACGTTCTACGGAAGGTAACTCGTTGATTAAGGTAGCACGCCACTATCTAACTAAAACAACAAAATCATTGCATTTCGCATTTTTTTCATACGATATTTGATTGTTGAAATTTGTTATTAAACTTTATTTTTATTTGAACATCACTGCATGAGATAAAAGTGGGGTGTACCACTCTTTTTTCAAGGTTAAAAATCTATTCAACATTGTGTTTGACATATATCAATTACTAGGACCAAACGTCTCGTTATCGTATTTTTTTTTTTTTATCTTTTATGACTTAGTTACCATTATTACTTGTCTATAATTTTAACTGTCGAAAAGACTGCGCTTTCTTTGAAGATGATTGTCCTATTAGTTTAAACCAAAATACATGGTACACACACGTAACTAAACTTAATATTGAATTGCAATAGTTCATACGGCATCATATTCACCGAAGTTGAAGTCACTGGTCAGGTCCGTATCACCACTTATTCGCCAAATTAAAGGTCATAAATTGTTATACTGGATATATTTAATCAATTCACCAGTTGGAACGAAAGAAAATCGTCGAGAGAAAATTAAACCTAGAGAGAAAAAGGAAGTGACGTCTAAAGAGATCGACCTGCAGTCCCTGAAAATAGTAACACCGAATCAACATCACAAATCACGAACTTCCATGTAATCGTGTTCAAATTAATGAGGATGAGGGACATTTGTGTCACTTTATATTTAGATAAATCAACATAGTTATCTTTATGCTAACTTTTATCCTATACTGAATTATTTGAGTTCCAATGTTACTGTGACTTGTATCAATACAAATGCCATTTTCTCTATCAACAGGTTTTTAATTAGAGAGTTAAGTGAGTGAAACACAGCCAACAGTTTTAAATATACCTCGTCCTGCCACGTCTAAATCAGCACAAATACTGTTGATGCATCGTCTCCATAGACCCTCGTCGAAACCCTGGATAGCAATGGCGGACTCCAGCCGGGTACCCTCGTCGTCAGAGAGACGGAATTCTTCAAAGTGGACTGCTCGCCAATAAGGTGTTGAAAAGGCTACGACGTTGATAACAAAAGCAATAACCTCCAATACAGCTGCAACCTTTATAAGAAGTGGGGCATCTAAGAATTCCGGCATTTTGAATGGTATGCTGGCCAGAATAAACTGATGTCGGTAGTTCACACGTGTAAAACTATACTATTTACACGTGTATAACTGTTCACACGCGTATATAACTATTAGGCTTTCTTCCGAAATCGTACTTACATATTCAATAACTGAAACAAACACAAGCTGTTACGGTCCTTATTAAAATACATACACACGAACAAGATGTATCACCAAACACACAGCCCAGACTTGTCGAACGACGTATAAGGTTCCGCTCTTTCTTGATATGAATATAATCCAATATCATACACCGATACCTCAACTTAAAATGGTGGATATATTCCTTAGACAAAAATTGCGCATGTGAATATCATCCGGTATCACTAAATAACACATCATATAAATATCTCTGTACATTTATCTGTGCAGTACATACACACGATGTACGGACCGAGGTTCTTGTAAATCAGTGAAGCGTGACCACGTGGTGTAAGTCATCTCGCCCGGGGGCAGTCCCATGACAGATTCTAAGTTACACATCATAATATATATAATTATCATATCAGTAAGACAACGGGAAAATCTAGTCTGATTACTTGTCACAGTTCATGGAACCCCTCCGGCGGTGTACACATTATCCTAAATCTACATAGTGCACTTTCTGCTAACAGGACATGAGAAATTGATGGACATCTTTGTGATAACGGCACCTATTCTATAACGGTAACAATATTGAATCGATTCAAGCTAGAGTCGTTGTTGATGATGATCATTGTCAGCTCCTGTTGTTTGCCACATCTTCGTAAAGAATAAAAAACAAGTTTTTGTCACAAAGAAAAAAAGAAATAAAGAGATGAACTCGTGTTGTTTGTAACCCTTTCACAATAAATTAAGTTCGTTTTATTTGTCACATTGTCTCATAGAAATAAGCTCGTATTGTTTATCGCAAAGAATAAAACTCGTGTTGTTTGTCAGCCCTTTTTAATGAAATAAGCTCGTGTTGTGTGTCATCTTGTTTTAAAGAAATAAGCTCGTGTTGTGTGTCACCTTGTTTTAATGAAATAAGTTCGTGTTGTTTGTCAAATTGTCAAAAAGAAAATAGACCCTAGTTGTGTGTTCCCTTGTCACAAAGGAGTGCGCTCGGGCTGTTTGTCACGTCGAAGTTGTCGTATGTATGTTTTGCTTAACGTCATAACGAGTCATCGAGTCCAATTACGCCTTACTGTTTATCACATCGCGGACATAATGAGCGTCCTAATAAGGAGTTAAATTAAAAACGCAACAATATATTGCTCAATTAATTCCGTAATACAATTTATTTTGTACAGAAGTCTCATCAATTTTCAGTTATCGGAAATGCATCGCAAAATAATATAGCCGTTATTTGTAGCAATCATTTCATATTACTTATAACATTAGATGATTCAATAATAACTAAGACAGTTTCATATCAATACCTTTATATTTTGTACAAGGCTTTACATTTCTACTTTCAATATATGTATGCATTGTAAAATGTTAAAGAGAAGACTTGTATATGTTTTGTCTGTTGCCCAATTCCTTTTGTATACAAGACCTATACAATAAAATAATCTAAAATGTAAAAGAAAACAATATGAAATATCTATTGGAAAACATTTAAATACAACATATTCAGTAAATACTAAATCAATCAATAATGATAATACCTATTAAAGTAAATGACATGCGCAAACAAAACAGCTGATTGTACAGTTTAAAGGCACTTTGGATACTATACTACGTGATATTCCAACTCGAGTAATTACCGACCCCGCAATACATATGGAACTGCTTGAGATATAAAGAAGGACTTGACCCTGGCGGAAGTGTTTCGTTTTGTTGAAATAAATAAAAGATCGACCTCTAAATTGTTAGGTTTTCTCCCTTTGGGGTGCTATCAGCACGGACAGGAAAAGAAGCGATAATAAACCCACATTCAACGACAACTTCAAGTCTAACAAATGCTCACATTGCGGGAAAGAACAGTTACAGAAGGAACACGTCTGTCCACATTCATGTACGTAACAGTGCATGAAAAATAGTCATGCGTGGGAGATATGCAAACGTAATCACCGCAAGCAGCATTCGAGTCGAAGGACCAGACAGACATTATAGACCGTACAACTCTCCTGGAGCGCAATGTTCGATGCACATTGTTCTGTTATGATTTTAAGCTCAATTATTATATACCGTGAGCGTTCGGAAACCGAACGGTCATCATATGAACGATAAACTGTCAGAAACATGGGTTATAATGTGATATGTACGGTTACTTTCAGGAATTATTATGCCCTTGGTTTTCGTTTAAAAAGAGGCGCCATAGAAGCTTCACTATCCGTTATGGCTGACACAAGATGCAAAAGTTGTCTCGTCAGTTTGAAATTCATCCTTGCATAAGGTTACGAGAGACTGGGCTCACCATCTGTTACCATGCGAACACATATATACATGTAGCTATAGGCGGTGTTCTGAGGATCCTAGGTGCAACTGACCGTCGTTTGGCTGGTACATAACTAGTGAAACTAGACAGATGACACAAGTCCTAAGCTGTTGCAAACAAGATGTATCTCAGTAAAGAAGCCTGCACTTCCCTATGAATAACTCATGATGCATTTTCTTCCGTTGATGTAAAACAAAACACCAACAAACCAGATGGATACAACCTCATTCCTACTGGGGCAGCCCGAAACAGTATATATGTGGCAGTCCGAAACGTCTACGACCTCTACCATACATATGTAGCTGTATTTCCCGAAACTGATGTCATCATAGAAATTCGTCAGTTTTATCAGGTTGCAGTCCTGTTTGTTCATCTGGCCGATTCACCTAGTCCAAAAAATATCCTCTGACAATATGTACGTGATAGCACACCACCGGCACGTTTGACGACTGGACATGTGATTGGGCTCTGTTGCACTACCAATTAGTCAACGATCGCTGACATGTACGTGAGGAAGTCAACCTTCCACCCGAGGACATGATATCTACAACATCATCTACATCACTGGTTACCGCTACCAGGACGCCTTCTACCTCAGGTTGTCCATACCTCCCTGTCATCTGTTACACTGAACACTTTTGGTCGTCGACACCTGAGCCCCTTTTGCGGATCCGGTTCAACCGGTTTGTTTGTTTTTAAATGTAACATTTTCGGATATAAATCTTAGCGGACCTGCAAATGTTTATTATGCAGACCTTGCAAGGCTTTGTCAAGGCTCTACTAAAGCAGCATCAAATGACCAGGATCGACCTCATAATATAAACGAACAACTCTCGTCCAACCGGTTCAACTGTTTGGGTCGCAATAAACGAATGTGGCCCTGGTCTTTAATTTTTCTACAAACCTGAAAGGGTAACATGATCCAAACCCCAGCGCCTATCGCTTCTTTTCTGCCTACTGCACCATTCATTGTCGTAACGACGTCCACGCAGCCATGGCGGTCTTGATGCAACACAAAACAAACGGGGCACTCCGATTATGGTATTTAAAATTGGCTCCATCTTTCTAGTTTACTTACATGTTTTGATCCGGTCTTTCTATAGTGACAATATGACCCGCGTGTACGAGGCCTGGGGAATTACAGGATTAAAAGATGAACATGTATGCAACAATCATTGTGGAATTAGTATGTACTTGGTGTGTCTTTCCACATCGTACTCATTGCTACATAAAGAGTTGAGCAAACGTTTTACTAACTGCCATTTTAAGGCCAATCCAAAACGCTGCCATATTATGCAATACACAACATACAGTTAGAAATGTTGCATTCAAAAACTGAAATATGATTGAAAACTAAAATTTGTTAAAATTTTGTGGAAAGAAAAATATAATTTGTTAAAAAATAAAGAGATGGTATTCAAATTTTGTTTTATACTGTATGGCGGATATTGCCTTGTTTAACGCGTTGTTTTGGCGGTATTTTGCATTGATATAGCTATTTTAGCATGATTTTCCCCCCCACAAAATTTTAACAAATCTATAGCAGTCAAATGATGTCTGACGTTCTTGATTTCGTTAGGGCTACATGGATTATGTATGTAACCGATTTGTGTTGATACCGGCATGAACATTGAAAAAAAAATGCCGTTTAATCCTTATATTTAATTTACATGCTAAATTTCGAGTGAGCGTTGACCTAAACAAAGATATTCCCTTAGAGTTTCTATATTGAAGTGTCTGCGTCGTCAGTGCAAATGAGATTCCTGGAACAGCCTAACGTCACCAAAACGTTTGCTTTTAACATGTTAATCGAGGCGGGAGGAGAAACTTCAAAATGGCGCTTATACGAATGCATTCATAAACCAGTGAACGCAATTTTTATGGTAAGACTTATAAAGGAACTAGTAGTTACCATATTGAAAATATTTTCGATCACTTAAATTTTAAGTTCATCAAACTGATTTCAATTATTTTCTTGATCCCAAAGAGGGAAAAAACGAAATATTTTCCCGAAGATTAAATTTTCGTAGATTATTTGTTAAATAATATCGATATTCAATCATTGAAAATAAGTGTTGCAACAGAGACGTATATATAATGTAATACGTCTCTGGTTCCAATAAGTTGTTTGTGCCATTTTCAGGACAGGATGATTTGACTATCAATGTAAATTCTAGTTCAATTTGGTTTGAAATGTGTATTAATTTTGTTTTAGAATTTTCGGCAAAAATTGCTTTACTGTATAAAGTTGAAAGAGGAAAGTATGTCATTGCTCGCCAGTTCTAATAATTTGTGTCTATGGTCAACTACCGAGGCGTCCCGAAACTGTGTTCCGAAATTCAAGATGTCTGCGCCCATGAACAGAAGCAACAAGGCAACATGAAGCGAGCGTTTAATTCTTTTCAGTCAGACAGTGTTCTGCGTAGTGTTCCTGACTTAAGAAATGATTTTTGCAATTTTAAAGAAAGTAACACAAAAGGACAAGCAGACGGTTTCGCAGACGCTCTCACCGTCTGGATAAACAAACCACACGTGATAAACAGACGATTATGTGGGTCGAGGATAGAGAAGATTATATATTACACCTGTCAGAATGGCGACTCACAACTACAGACGACTTTTGAGTCTGCGGTGGCTGAGGTTTTGAGTAAGAAGACGTTAATCAATCTAAATACGGTAATGATGAGTATTATAAGACCACAGGTGCTCTGGTTCTAAAATTGTGATATTTAGGTATCGCATATCACTGTAATAATAAATAATTGGGTTCTAGAATATATATAACATTATCCATTTAAGTCTCGCATTCCACTAGATATTGCACCCCACTAACCGAGGACTTCTAATTCCGTGATACTAACAAAATCTAGTGGGGTGCGATACTTAAACAGATAATGTTCCATATATTCCAGAACCCGAGCACCTGTGTATAAGCCTGGGAACCCTGCCGACTTTCAGACTGTCTCGCCTGGGAAATTTGTTTGTACACATGTATAATGAGCACATGCAACCGTCTCATGATAAAAATATCTGCATGACTGTTAATTGTGCCAATATACACTCCCTTTGAAAAAAGACTGACAAAAAATGATACTTTAATGGAGAGATGATATAATCTGAAAACATCACTGGTCAGTCTGGATCTTTTAATGTGGGGCAAAGAAATTAATTGAACTTAATAAAGTAGCTTATAACAGGGACGTTCACCTGGCCAGGTGCCCCCTTAAGTATTGACTTTGATTGAAAAAATATGAGTAAGATGTTATGATTTCACACCACTGCACGTGAGACGTTTATACTGCGGAGCTCAGGCATTATATGTCTCTGGCTTACCCTGTATCTGTATTTCTCATATATCTTAGCTGAAATTACGCTCAAGTTAAAATGAAGATGTTTTATATACAAACTTTTATTATTGCTACATCAAATATAAAAAGTTTTACAAACTTATATGCAATCTATATATATGTCAGCAGCTCTGTTTGGTGCCATGTTCTCCTTGTTAATGTTATAGTCAATTACTTGATATACTTGGATAAGAAACATTGGAAACAATTTAACTTTGGTTCCAGAAAGAAGATGATTTATGTAAGGAGGTCCCCAGTCTGTCCACCATCCCGGAGGGAGAAGGTGTGGTCATTGTCCGAGGTATACACCCCAAAAGGGACGATTCACACCCAGTGGTCAGGGAAATTATATGCTATGGTAAGGTATATATTACATGTGCAAGACTGACTAGTCCCTTCATGTCAACCTATGACTGAGTGGGCGATTGGTATTGTTTATTTGTACAATATGGTGTGATGAAATTGTGTATTTCATATGTCACTTGACATATATCCATAGAGAGTGCATACACATCGGGTCGATTGACATACCTGGTATGAAATACACAATTTTGTCAAACCATCCTACAGGTCATGGCACCCCTAAGTTTTGTGTCTGTCAGATGCCAAACTGAAGATAGCCTGTTTTTTTTTGCAGCTTTTTTATGTTGTAACTTGAAGATTGCCTGTCTGTTATATTTTGTTTGTTTGTTGTTACTAGATGCCACCCTAAGGAGTGCCTGGTTTTGTCCAGTAACCGACACTTACAAGCAGAAGGCTGTTGAAGCTTCCAGAAATCTGTGTTACCAACTTGTCCATCAAGTGGTCAACACGAAGCCAAGGTGAGATCTTACAGCAATGAGATAAAAAAAAAAGGAAATATTCTGTTTCTCCTTCTTGTTTATAGGTACAATTACCAGAACTGATACTGATACAAAAATACATGTGAGAGTATAAAGACTCGTTAAAGAGGTGATGTCAAAGATCGGTGACCAGTGGTCAGTTCCACAGGTGTACATATGTACACGTATATAAGGTTTTGCAACCAAGGTTTTGCTTGACATCATACTGTTATTGCTGTAATCTTATTATTACTTCTAATGCTTTTATAATGACTGATCATTATGACATGCATGTTGCCAGGTACTGGCCGTAGGTCCATGTTTTTTTTCTGCGAGAACTCTGGCTTTCCTCCACCACCAAAACATGTGACGTCCTTAAATGACCATAGCTGTTAACCCTTTCACCACTGTAGACCATAATGGACTCATCCAGATCAATGCATGGTAGAGTCTACTAAAGTTACATAGGGGTGAAAGGGTTAAAAGGACGTAAAGGACAAACAAACCAATGCATGTTGTCAACAGTACTCATTAACTTTCAATATTGATTCCAGTTAGCACTCACTGTTTTGAAAAATTACAAAATATAATTATATATCAAATTTTTATAAATTAATAAAGCAATCTGGTCTATATCTTTTGTATCATTGCATTTATGTAATTTCCTCTTTACAGAATTATATTTAGGGTTTGCAAAACTGAAAATGACAATTGGCGTTCAGATACGGAACCAGCTGAAAGTGAACCTGTCAAAACAAGACCAGATCAATGTGTCTCTAACACTGAACCAGACGATGGTGAAACAGTCGAGGAAGGACCTGATTCATATACTTCTAAGACTGAAGCCACTGCTGAACAAGACACGTCAATAATTCTGTCAGATATTTGGCTAACAAATATTCTGCTACCAAAGATCGCAAATTGGAGTGAACAGAAAAATTTGGAGACAACAGTTAAGTCTCTTCGTCTGGTGAGGATAGACCAGTACAACACTCTGTACAACCAACTCAAAGTCAAGTACGGCAAGAAGTTTGTAGAGGTGAGTTGACTTTATCGTCTGTACTTTTTATCCTGGTGAACTGATTCAGACTTATGTTGTATCAGTTTGAAAACTTATTTTTGATTTAGTTAAAACAAGTTATGTGTCCTGTTGATTCATTTTGAAAGGAAAGGTAGAAAACAAAATATTTCACAAATCGTTTCAATACATTAACATATTTACTATGAAGACCAAGATTTGCATTCATACAAGAATGAACATGCCATTCAATTCTCATATTAACAGGCAAAATGGAAGTGACACATTAATTTTGAGAAAATGGAATTTAGATTTTGTAGATATTAGCCTATTGAAAAGCAGGATAATGTCTGCTATTGTGCAAGTGCTTCGACCTTCCTAACCATTAGTTTGTAAATAAGTAATTATATATGATATTCCTAGAATCTAGAGAGGTGATCAGTGTGCTTCTGTTCCACTCCACCACCAACCCTAACTCTTAGCTTGTATAACATTGTGTTGTAATTGATATTTGAATTTCTGATATTTTTCAGTGCTGGCCTGAGAAAACAGATCCTGCAAAATTTGTTTATGAAGATGTTGGCATAGCAACATACCTATTGGTGAGTAATGCTTTGTATAAAATCAATGTATGTACACAGAATGTCAGCATCGTTTACACACAGTTGTACCTCTTAATTAATAATGCATTGTTTACTATGTTAGCAAGAATGCTTTTTAAGTAATCATTGTTCCATAATGCAAGCAGAAATAAACTAAATAAGGCTGATCGTACATGGGCCATCGATACATACATACCAAACTTTGAGAATAAAATTTATTTGGCTAGACAATGACTAGGGGTCAAAGTTTAACTGAAATTTTAGTACGTCAAACAAAAGCATTTTCTTTCATATTTGATCTTGATCGACAGTAAGTTTGTAGCTAGTACATGACACATACATACGATATGTTAATTTAGAATTGTGATGAAAAGTATTACTGTGACAGGTCCTGTGCAATTTATGGAACACTTTTCATAAATGATAAAAACATCCACCAATACATGTCACCAATCTTATCATAAAACAGAAAGCAGGAATTAATTTCTGATAGTTTTTACCAAATTTATATAAGATTTTTAGTTTCCTATGTTATTTACAGTTTCTTTATTTCTCATAACAGTTAATCTGGGAACAAGAAAGGAAGGAGAAGAATTTAAAGGAGAAGCAATCGTTTGTAGACATGGGATGTGGAAATGGACTACTTGTTCACATCCTGTCTTCTGAAGGTGTAAGTATCCATCATAGCTAGGTATTAGGAACATGTACTTCGGTGATAACATCTAAATATATCTCATTACATTAAAACATTGTTTCATATTAAAATAATTGGCCAGTTTTCAAGTTTACTTGAGTTAAATGTGTTAAAAGCATCTTTTTATGGAGTCATTGATGGGCTCATAGCTGAAGATTTAAACTTCTTGTTCAAACGAGTGATTGCTGAAACAAATTTCCTGAAAATTTAGGTACTTTAAGTGACCATATCCATACAGACAATGTCTTCTTATGATATTAGTGAAATCGTAAAACATAAAAACAACAATTTGGCTTGTAATTTGCTGGAATGAAGAGGTATGATACTTACTCGTAAGGTCAAGCTCTTCATGTCCTTATATTATTTCTTACAGATCAAATAATGTGAGGTTGATACAGGCACCATGGGCCTCTTCTGTTGATCTCAAAGTGAAGAGACCATTGCTGATTTGATTGCCAACATAAATTGTGCCTTAAGGATTACAAAAATGTCTTTACTATTTGCATGTCAAACTTTTACAGCACCCAGGTGTTGGTTTAGATGTACGGAAGAGAAATATTTGGGACTTATATGGCCTGGAGACTCGCCTTAAGGTAACTACTACTAGTTCAGATATAGACATGAATATTATAGGTATTTAATTCACAATAAACTATAATGATAATCAAACCTTTCTCAGAAAAATGGACTAAAGAAACACTTCTTGTTAAAGAACAAATGCTGGAAGCTGTGTTTTTTCTTAATACATTTTCAATAGCAACAGTAGATTTATTCTTTTCATTGGAATTAACAAATACCAGGGCGTAAATCAGTGACGTTGTTGCATGTTGAGCTACTAAATCCTATTATTGTTGTAATTAGTGTCTTTATAATTTTTAATCCTCCCCATTACCTTCAGTAGCAGACATTAGATTCAATGATATACTGTATACTGGGAATTTTTCACCCAGTCAAACTTGTGTGCTGCACAGGTAAAATCCATATTTGCCCAGTTTTAGTTTCTCCCTTCACATTTAATTACTTTGTATACTATGTTGCTTTAATATGAATGTTTGCTGTAATGGTTGATTTGCCCTCATTACGGAGGCGAAAAAGACGAAAAATAAACTGAAGCTTAAAAACATTTCGATATGCAGTGAGTATACAAACAAGAAAAATGTCTGGCTTCAATTGACTTTTGTGGGAACCTGCCCACCAATCACACCTAACACTAGACATGCCCCCTCCCCTCATTAGTGGTTGCACTGCTACTGTCCATTTCCACATTGATTGCCAAATCTATTCTTAAGGAGCTTTTTCTTCAATTTGATTTGTGTAACATTTTTGCTGAACACTGATCTAATAGAACTGGACAGGAGTTGTTTTCTATTGTATGTGTACGGACACATCATGAGGTGACGTACCTGTCAGTCACTCAGAACTAGCCATGCCCCTAACCTTAATGTTCTACATGTGCCACCATGTTTTGTGGGTAATTTACCTGTCCGGCACACTGACCATGTTATAAAGTAACCTCCTACCGTTCCATTTTGCAGGAAGAGACAATCATTCCGTCCTGCGACTCCTTGTACCCGCAGTATGATTGGCTGATTGGTAACCATAGTGATGAACTAACGCCCTGGATACCAGTCATGGCAGCAAGGTAGGTGCTACACTGCTCTGAACGATGCCCCCAAGTACACAAACCTAGGGTATTGCCAGGTATGTTTTTGTCATGTCTGTCCACCCTACTATATTTAACAGTCCGTGTCATCACTCTAGAAGCCATCATTCTTCACAAATTTTGTTGAAACGTCCCAGTTATGTAAACCGTTTATATATCTTCATTCACAGTAAGTGTTAAAATTGGCACAATATTTTAAAGGTCAAGGTTTTTGTTGCTAAATATTTAATTTCACATGTCTTTCCTCTAGTAGATATATTTCTGGACAGCTTTTAAGGATGACTGGATTTGACAAATCTAAGACAACTTTGTATATATGTGTTATGGTAAAAGGTTAAGACCAATGTTACTAAAAATCACACCCTAGAACTGTATTGCGACAATTGCACTCATACCTATGAGTTCTGTCGCAGTTATCGGAAGAAGACTCAGCAGGTGCAGGTATATGTGCTTGGTCTGTCAAAAGTTAATATTAGTGTTACTAAAAAAAGAATACACTCTTTGTCATTACTCTAGCTACATGTACTGTATTTCTCGACAGATTTTGATAGAACTTCACAATGGTCAAAGGTCAAGGTAGATGTAACTGTAACATTGTCCTAAAATAGAATTTCATCCTGAATCAAACAGCAGAGGGGATATTGTATGCCTAGCTCATTTTCTGTTGTTTTCTCATGGTTAATATTCAGCGAATACTTACGATTTTTTTCCCTAAATTGTTGTTCATGTGTCTGCTCTTGTTTCATTTCATAGGTCATCATACACCTGTCGTTACTTTGTGTTGCCTTGCTGCCCATTTGACTTTGACTGCAAGTTCAACAAGAAAGTGAGTGGACAGAGCAGTTACCGCTGTTTCCTTGACTGGGTGATAGAGGTGGGACAGGTCTGTGGCTTCCAGGTGGAGGAGGACACCCTCAGGATCCCCTCCGTCAAACGGGTGAGTACTCAGGCTTTAAGGCGGAGGAGGGCACCCAGAGGATATCCTCTGTCAAACGGGTGAGTACTCAGACTTTCAGGTGATGGAGAACACCCTCAGGATCCCCTCCGTCAAACGGGTGAGTACTCAGGCTTTCAGGTGGAGGAGGACACCCTCAGGATCCCCTCCGTTAAACGGGTGAGTACTCAGGCTTTCTTGTGGAGGAGGACACCCTCAGGATCCCCTCCGTCAAATGGGTGAGTACTCAGACTTTCTTGTGAAGGAGTACACCCTCAGGATCCCCTCCGTCAAACGGGTGAGTACTCAGGCTTTCTTGTGGAAGAAGACACCCTCAGGATCCCCTGTCAAACGGGTGAGTACTCAGACTTTCTGGTGGAGGAGGACACCCTCAGGATCCCCTCCGTCAAACGGGTGAGTACTCAGGCTTTCTTGTGGAGGAGGACACCCTCAGGATCCCCTCCGTTAAACGGATAAGTATTCAGGCTTTCTTGTGGAAGAAGAAACCCTCAGGATCCCCTGTCAAACGGGTGAGTACTCAGACTGTCTGGTGGAGGAGGGCACCCTCAGGATCCCCTCCATCAAACGGGCGAGTACTCATGCTTTCTTGTGAAGGAAAGACCCCTTCAGGATCCCCTTGTCAAACGGGTGAGTATTCAGGCTTTCAGGTGTAGAGGGGCACCCTCAGGATCCCCTCCATCAAACGAGTGAGTACTCAGGCTTTCTGGTGAGGGAAAGGACACCCCCAAGATCCCCTTGTCAAACGGGTGAGTATTCAGGCTTTAAGGTGGAGGAGGGCACCCTCAGGATCCCTTCCGTTAAACGGGTGAGTCCTCAGGCTTTCTTATGGAGGAGGACACCCTCAGGATCCCCTCTGTCAAATGGGTGAGTACTCAGACTTTCTTGTGAAGGAGTACACCCTCAGGATCCCCTCTGTCAAATGGGTGAGTACTCAGGCTTTAAGGCGGAGGAGGGCACCCTCAGGATCCCCTCCATCAAACGGGTGAGTACTCATGCTTTCTGTGGAAGGAAAGACACCTTCAGGATCCCCTTGTCAAACGGGTGAGCATTCAGGCTTTCAGGTGTAGGAGGGCACCCTCAGGATCCCCTCCATCAAACGAGTGAGTACTCAGGCTTTCTGGTGAAGGAAAGGACACCCCCAAGATCCCCTTGTCAAACGGGTGAGTATTCAGGCTTTCAGGTAGAGGAACACCCTCAGGATCCCCTCATCAAACAGGTGAGTGCTCAGGTTTTCAGGTGGAGGAGGACACCTTCAGGATCCCCTTCGTCAACCAGGTGAGAACTCAGGTTTTCAGGTGTAGGAGGACACCCTCAGGATCCCCTCCGTCAACCAGGTGAGTACTCAGGTTTTCAGGTGGAGGAGGACACCCTCAGGATCCCCTCGGTCAACCAGGTGAGTACTCAGGCTTTCAGGTGTAGGAGGACACCCTAAGGATCCCCTCCATCAACTAGATGAGTACTCAGGTTTTCAGGTGTAGGAGGACACCCTCAGGATCCCCTCTGTCAACCAGGTGAGTACTCAGGCTTTCAGGTGTAGGAGGACACCCTCAGGATCCCCTCCATCAACCAGGTGAGTACTCAGACTTTCAGGTGTAGGAGGGCACCCTCAGGATCCTCTCAGTCAAATGAGTACTCAGGCTTTTGTGAAGTGAGAGCATTCTCCAATGAGGTTTCGAGCATATCCAAAGAATCCTAAATAGACAAGTTTGCAAATAGGGCTTTGAGGAAAAGAAGGACAGGTCAGTAGACACCAGAGATAAGATATGGAACAAATAAAGATGGTGGAATTATAGACTTAAAGAAATGACATGTAAAAGCATTGACTTCAGTGACTTCACACGTGGTATAATGTTCTTTATGAGGTTTCCAACAAGTGTTCTTACTTTTCCTGCCAATTTAAAAATAAACAGGGCATATCCTTAATATATGTATTAAAGGATATTTGCATTTATTTGAGACATTTTCAACTTCTCCTCAAGAATAACTGGACTGATTGACCCCAAGTTTCATACAAATGTTCTTATGAGGTCCCAAACATGTGTTCTTTACTTTTCATGATGATCCAAAATTCCAAGATGGTCCACATGGCCTAAGATTGGCTGAAACATTTTTATTTGAACTCGTGTGAATGTTAAGGCTACTTCTGCATCTTGTTAGCTCATTTGATTTTTCTTCAGGTGTGCTTCATTGGGAAAATCAGAACCTACAGTGAAAAGGAGGAATCTGCCATAGATACCAAAAGAACAATGTATATCAAAAACCGCTGTGATAAAACAGGTTTAAAGGGAGATAAGCAGGACTTTACTTCAAAAACTGGCTCAACAGAACTTTCGAACTTGGACCACAATCATGATTGTCCTAGTGATAGTAAGAAGCTAAGACTTGAAGGAGAAAACCCAGATGGGCAACCATGGACGTCAACATTCAAGCCTCGGGAAAGTACAGAACGTACGCGCAACTGCCAACATGTAAAAAAGGAAATAAAGGATTTAATTGTGAACAAGGTGTTTGCTAGGGTTATGGAATCTGAGGATGCAGAGGTGCGTCAAACAGAAGACGGAAGAACATGGCACAAGGGAGGTAAGTCATGTAAACAAAGCATGGGAGATCATGTAACATACAATTAGAGGATGGAGAGGGAATTACGTAAGGATATTATTATGAGTGGGGATGAAATTGTATGAGTAACATGAAAAATACCCACAAATAAAATCAATGTTTGATATTCCTGTCAGCTATCACGATTGAACGCAAGTTTTTTTTTTCTCGTTGTGCTCACAACTTCATGATCCTGATACTACAATCTTAAGCTTTAATCAGTTATGAAGCTCATAATTAACTGTAGCACTGTGATTCTAATGCACAATTATGTTAATCCTAATCTTTATCATTGTTTATTTGTGAACAGGATCTGTACCGTTATCAGAAGTAGCTCAGATGTTTGACCGTCAAGTGCTGATTGAAATGAAGTCGGAATGCGGAGGTCTACAAACACTACTCAGAAACCACAACATGGTCTTCAATGGTGAGATAACACATAAGTCATAAGTCTAAAAAGTCATACTTGAAGATGTGTCAAGTTTAATTGTCTGACAAAAGATTTTGATATATGCTTTATTGTCAGAAGAAATTAAAAAAAATATGCATAAATGTCACATGAATTACTCTTGATTTGGTTAAGCATAAATCATTACGATGATGAGCCCCAAAAAATATACTTGTAGGTGTGTCAAGTGTCATTGTCCAATGAAACATCATTTATATGCTTTACTGTTAGAAGTAATAAGAAATTGATGCATAAATGTCATATGAACGATTCCTGCCCACCAGACCAGGATATCCCCAAGACCACTATAGTGATACAAAATTTCTACCTGACCCACGGGTCTGGATCACCTTCATGATGTCACCAATCTATAGTACAGTGAAGGGGATGTCACAATAGACTGGAAGTTAAATGACACTGCATCTACCACCCTCACTCTTACTAATTTTTGTAGTGTTTATATGGAGTATTTCTTTGCCTTTATTGTAGATGTAGATAAGATTTAAATACAATCTAATCCCGGAGGTAAAGGTAAGGAGATGCAAACCTTAGGGATGAAATATCGAGGTAAACTCTTTGTAAAGCCTTGTTTTTAGGATATTTTATCCCACAGGTTTGAATCACCTTAACTAAACCTCACACTGGGAATGATTCTACATGTAGAAGTATCAGGAACAATTCCAATAAAATCATATAACAATATACATGTGATTCAGTTAACTAAACAGTTATAGACAGGTAAAGATGCTGCTGGAAACAGGTGATCTTGTTTTCCTAACATTTTTGTATGATTTCTGAAAAGACTCGTGCAGCACAACCAAAATGTGTATACATGTGACGTTTCAATGACTAGTACGGTATGTACATATACTCTGTCACATTCGTCAGATAAATAACCAGTGAAAAGGTGTAAAATATGTCAAGTTGTCCACAAATCGATGTCGATTTGGCTTCGCTGTAAGCGTGTGTCCTATTAGTTGATATATATGTATCCAAATGACTCTATTGTACATAGGCTTTAATACAGGGTTGCCGAATCAACATCAATTTGTGGACAACTCCTACACATTTTACACCTTCGTGTACATACGCTTCACTGGTCATTTGTCAGATGAAGGTAGCAGGGTACATACTGTACTAGTCATCAAAACATCATTTATAAACACTTACCGGTTGTGCTGCATGAAATTCTTTTCTCAATCCATACTTACCAAACTGAAGAAAATGCTTAGAAAAATTGTGGTATGAGGTATTCATGTAAATTGTTTATATTTGACAGTGTCTGGTGGCAAGGTGCAGCTAAGAGACCTGACTCTGTCACAACCTTTTAGTAAAGCCTCACAGCTAGGCCAGACCAAAAAGATTAAAACATTGCTGTGCTGGTTTCACTCCCATCACCCGGACGGATGTCCTCGGACCAAAGCCTCATGTCTGTTTGCTCACGGAGAGGAGGACCTGCTACCAAACGAAAAGAAAACATTGTCTAATAGAACTGTTTCTCAGATTACATAATTCCATTTTTCAACTAATTATGGATGGACGATGACAAAATTGTGTAATTTCTACCAGGTATTAAATTTTGCAAAAACAAAAAGATATAAAGAACAGAACATGTTCATTTTCTATGGTCCATTTATTTGTTATTTCTTCCATATTTTCTGATCTTGAAATTTTAGAAACAACTTTTTTTAACATTGTCAAAATCACCCTGATCTTAAAGCATTTGTAACATGTTACATGTAAGTTGCAATTATTTATATATAACTCTTTTGTCTTCATTAAATAAATATAAAAACAATTTTACTATTTTTATTGGGATTGAGAGATATATATAGCATATGTCTGGTTCCCTGAGAATAAGCCTATTTCCTGAGTCAAAGCCATGGGAAATAGACCTGGTGGTGGGGAACCAGATTTCTTTTGTATTGAATTGAAAATATATTTGTTCATGAAATGAAATTTTAGAATGCTTTTGTTTGTGCTTTTGGTTATATGTAAGATGTTAAAACCATGTCTCGTAACTTAATGAGATTGAATATTACACATAATTATACTATTTACAGATGAGAAGATTTTCTAATTCAAAGCATGATACATCCACTATAACAGTAATAACGTCACAATTAAAATGCTTAATGATGACTTTTTTACCAAATGTTATCACTTATAGTACATCACATGCAAAGATAAATAAAATGTATTGACAATTCACATAGGTGTTATTTAGTCATTGTGCGGTGTTTGCCATGGTTTGGTTTCCTTGACAACACAATACGATTTAAGGTTACAGCAGAAATTTCAAGTGACCTACATGTATGTGTTATCTGTGGTTATTTGCCTTTTGTCCAATATCCTTTAACAATTGTTTTTGACATCATCTCAAGTTTTAGAAGACCAAGGGTCAGTGTATTCAATCTGTAGGTAGCTGCATGGGGTTGAGGACTATCAATGTTATACAAATAAATGAACCTGACTTCATTCAGGGTCATTGGAATCAAATATGTTAAAATTTGTATTAAAATGATGTCTCATGTTCCAAAAGACGTAGAATCATGATAATTGAGATCCAGTTAGCTGGTAGGAAGGTTTTTGAATTTGATCAAATTCATTATATTGGTCTCCATATATTCATTCAACTTAGATTACATGAGTCAATTGTCAGTTGAGGTATCTGTGTATTTCTTTGAAGACTTATCCTCCAGGGGTGCTTGCTTGCAATTAATGCCAATTTGTTATTTAACATCATGTTGAAAAGAAAATATAATGTTATAATTTACCTAGGGATAATATTAGTGTGTCCCTAGACCAAAAGAGAAGACAGGTAAGATAATTGATATGACTACTCCTTTTCAATAAAGAAGTTTTACGTGTTATTTATCAAACTGATGATTACTTTTTTCAAAATCCTATTCCGAAGTACCACTGTGTTTTCATGAACATGTGGAGCTGTGTTCCTGTCGTCTGTCTCGTGTTGTATTTTGTCTGTCACCTTTAGAATTAAAAAAACAGCTCATCCTAAATTACTGAAAAGATCCCTAAGTCACCAGGATCAAAAGGTTTGCAAATATCGGGGTTGAACCTTCTAAGAAATGAGGGACCGGGCAAAAAGTGTCAAATTGGCTGATTTGCTTTAAAAAGCTTCTCCTTCCAAACTGCTAGGCAGATTTGAACCAAATAGTGTTATCAAGCTTGGCACATAGGAATAAAATTATGGAATAAGGGGCTGAACAGGTTTTAAGAGATAGAATAGGCTGATTTGCTTTAATGACATCTCATCCCAAACTACTGGATAAGTTTTAACCGAATTTTTGTGATAGTATCGTTATCCCATGGGAATCAAAAATTAATGTTATTATTTTTATGTTACTGCTGTTGTTCCTTGAGGAGTTCCTCCCAAAAACGTGGGGGATGGGAGGGGGAGGGGTACCAACCTCATTTACAAAATAGCCAAACGAGCGATGCAATTCTATAGACGATTTGTAATCAGTAAAATTAAAAAAAGAGACTGCCGAATGCAAACAAAAAGAACAGTTCGAACTCTAAGCCGATGAAATTGGGTCAGTATTTAAGCAAATGAGAGATTCCCATAAAGACCTTTGCAAAATTATTCTCATGCTCAAAAACCAAGAGAATGTCGAAGTTTCAACAAAACTATAATTCGAATTCAAAATCGATAAAACTTTGGCAAAAGATTTACGAAGGAAAGATTTACATGGAGACCATTGAAAAAGTACAAAGGAGGATAAGACCTTGGCCCGTATTCATGAAACCAATCTCGTGCTCAAGCATAGATTTTGTGCTCAATCCTAATTTCTTGTTCCAAATTATTTAAAAGATCTTATTTTGTCAAAGTCTTTTGGGAAAAAATAAGAGACTTGAAGCCAAATATTTCTGTTTTTCAATATTTACAATTGACGTATTGATCGTTGACATGATTAAGGAGAGTAATAAGAAAACTGGCTTGAGCACAGAATCCATGCTTGAGCATGAGAACGGTTTCATGAATACGGGCCCAGGCGTTCCGGGATGGTAAGCGTCTTCTTCACCTGCCATCTACATCTAAGTTGAATCCAGTTTAATGTCCTCACATCGAGAACTCGGGTAGTGACAACAAAACCACAAGGCACTGTAATGAGCATAATAAAAACATCGAGTTCCATATCACACAGAAAACTAGAAATATCATATTTCCCTGTGAGACCCTGGTGGCGATTATATACAACGTGTCCATAGTCTTCATCAACCTGCATCTTTAGAAACCCAGTGTTGTAAGTTTCATTGTCAGCAGTCCACATCTATCATGGAAGGCATGATATTCGAAGCAATTAAGTTCTTCAGTACCGAATCCACTGCGACATGTAAACACCGTAGGTAGGGGAAGCACGGATGGTGCGATCAAGAAAGGGATAGTACACAATCGGAAAGTCGAAATAGTCCCGCTTATCGTACAGCTTAGTAGTTAGTCGTCTGTATAAGATCGATGAAAGCGGCTGAATGTGAAATTGGAGAACTTGGCTAGGTTTTTATTACCAGTCCTGATAAGCTCGTCAATACATTCAGCTTCATATGGAATCAGAAAAAATCGACCGGAAAGAGTACAGTTTGTTTCCACGGGAATGCTTACAGCCTGCGGGAAAATCTTGCCACCAAACTCTACAAATAAATTGTCAACCAGAGACGCAATAACTCATTTGGCCTTTGTTGTATTTTTCAAAAAATATGCTACAAAATAATTTACAACTACATATTTTAACCAGCGACCCTTGGCTCCCCAGCCCGATGCTCTACCGCTAAGCTAAAGGGAAATTCCCTACAGCTGACGCTTGTAAGGCAACCTAATTAAACCACACGATCAACGGGGGGAAAATCGGTACAAGACCAACATTAGGGGACATGCTTTTAAAAATAGATTCCCCAACCTTAAATGATTTTAAATCTAGACTCAATAAACATTGGGTCAACCATCCAATCAAGTTTTTACCATCGTGCTACTTGTATGTAATATAAGTTATATACGCGTCCTCTGCACAACCGGTGAATATGTGAACAACTACGAAGAAGCGTCAACAGAAGCAATACTATGCTTACGAAGACGTCGACCACCATGAACCTTCAACCACATATTTACATTACCGTACGCCTTTTTTTGAAAAGAGAGTTCTCACAACATGCGAACGTAGGCGTTCCTTCAGTTTGGTATGAGGAATGGTCGTTTAAAGGGTCGAAATGTAGAAAGTATTGATAGAAGAAACAATTTTGAGAACAGGATGTTCAAGATTGATCAAAAGATCTTTTGAATTCTTCAAAATCTCCAGGCCCTTTATTCCACTTCATAAGTATGCAGTATCACAATACGACAGCAACGCTGATGAAATGGTAAAAAGAAGTTTCGATAATGGATTTGTTGAGCAACTAGAAAAGCGAACGATAAAACGTTGCTGGTTAATGAGAAATTATGTGAAGTTTTGGAATCCAATACAAACGAGGCAAATCAGTAAGAATGAACCCTCCACTACCACAGGGACTTGAGAATTCGTTACAGCTATATTTGGACCTAAACAAAGATGTTCAAAGTTATACTCTATATCATCATATTTGGCGTGACATGTTTACAGAAAGTTCATCTAAACCCATAAAAAGTGTAAAAATACTTTGAACACCATAGCTTACAGTGTAGGTCCAAACATAGCTAAAACAAATTCCCAAGTCCCTGTGTCCACTTCAGGGCCGCGACGTACGTTTTTGAGTTCCTCTGATATAGGCAATATGACTATTTATAGGCTATATGACTATTTTTAAAGATTTATTACTGATTTTGTTACATTTGAGATAAAGGAAATACCCTGTATTAAGACAGAAAAGATGTAATGGTAGAGTGAGGTGGTAAACCTAGGATATATATCCATGCTTGTGCAATGCAATAATTCGATTTACTATTTATCTTCCGACATATTTTTGACGACGTCATTGAGTCACCACGGACTTAGATAATCCAGTTCCGTGGTTTTATTATATATACAGAGTAACCTGTCCTCAGATTCAATTACTTAAAAAATTAAAGTAACCTCTTCTGATGATTGTTTAAACAGAGACAAGTAAAGCATGTTGCATACGTCTCTGGTTTAACTTTTTTTTTCAACAAACCACTTTTCTGAACACATTCATACCACATTTTTCATCTTCTTTACAGTAAACGTCTCAATTTATCATGTTGATTTGATTTTGGTTTTGATTTTCTAACCATTCAAAGTTATTGAATGTTTAACTGAGAATTTTGTTAATTCTTAGGGGATTAAAAAATATTTTTGGTGCGAATCGTCCCATCCGGAACGTTTTCACGGACCGGTAAAGTATGTATTAGATATTATACGAACTTCCGGTATTGTCTCGCGCGGAAATCAAAACAATCTGAGAAACACACAAGCAGGTGTTTCGTGTACACACGGACACATGCACATGAAATGAGAATATCCTGAATCGGAAGCTTCGTTTGCTTTATCGCAATGTGTAAGTTGTATTGCTGGGTCTAGCCATGCTTTAGAAAGACAGTGAATAATTTGTCGGAGTCCCATCACTACATTGTACCATGGTATGGGTGCGAAGTAAACTATACAGCTATATGCAAGATCGGGCTACTGTTAGGAGCACAAGTGCTCGGATTCTGGAATATATATAGCATTATTTGTTTACGTATCACACCCCACTAGATATCGCACCCCATTATACTAATAAATCATATAGTACCGGTGATCGGGTTCTGGAATAATTATAACATTTATGTGTAAACAAATAATGTTAAATATATATTCCAGAACCAGAGCACCTGTGGTTAGGATCTAGCTTACATACTTCCACTGCTAACATCACCAGGTGATCGATATCGGGTTGTTGTAAATGTTCTTTAGATTTGGATTATAAAATATAAGTACAATATGTCATTCATTGCTTTGATGTTGTCTCGAGAACGAAAGGGGTTATGTTGTTTTCGGAGTACTTGTATGTTGACAGATGGAGACATCACCACAGTGGCAGGGAGAAGATTCCACTGAGTGATTGTACGAGGAAAGAAGGAGTATTATTATATTTCTACCTGTCTTTAGTAGATCTAGAGTGGATATGTTTGAAGGAGAGAAGATTTTCAGTAATTAAAATCCTATTAGTATTACCAGGGACAGTCTATACGTCCCTGGTATTACATACCTTATGTCTCTTAATTAGTGAATGTGAAAGTGCCAGTAACATAACGTTTATTTTAATGAAGGACTCACCAATACAACACTGTACACAAAATGTGTCTGAGTCGAGAGGATTTTATTTCTTATCCTTTGACATGATATTATACATAAGGAGTTTCAATACATCCAGGATAATAAACCTGTTGATCGTAACATTTAAATACCATTGCCGTAATTTTGGAACACTAGCATACATGTACATAAAAACAGCTTGGGAATGTATATTTCTGTCGATTATGGACGCTTAGCTTTGATACCCTAGAAATTAAGTATTGGACCTATATAGTGTTAAAGTGACGGTGTACCAAACTTACATTTTTTTTTTAATTATTATTTATAATTTGAAATTTCAGATGCTCTGGAAAACCTGGAGCAGCTCCAGGAAAAAGATGATTCCAGTAACAGAATCGTCTTTAAGGATGAGGCAGTGAAGACAGTCAGGAAAATCTTACAGCTGAAACAACAGAAGGACAAGCTCCTGCAACAGGAAAAAGAGCTGGACACACAGGTTCAAATGCAGCATTTTACCCATGATAAGTCCATCCAGACATGCGCTCGTAAAATTGTTGACCCCCCCTCCCCAAAAAAAATAGAGCACACCCTGATTTTTTAGGACTGACTTTCCAGGCTCTCGCTCTTTTGTTTTATCAAAATGAACTTGCTAGCCAAAAAGAAAGCAGTCACTTTTGAGCATGTCATCAATTTGGTTTGGTTTGGTTTCATTTTGTTTAATGTCCTATTAACAGCTAAGGTCATTTTAGGATGTGCCTCCATTTGTGTAGTGTATGCGTGATTGCGTGTGTGTATGCAGCCAGGAGATGGGGTATGTTGGTGTGTTTGCCTCCTTGTGATAGTGCAGATCTGATGCCGACTTTATAGTGCTATCTCACTGAAATACTATGCCGAAAGGCACCCAGCACAGCATTCTGACCGGTCACATGCATTATACTGACAACGGGTGAACCAGTTGTTGCCATTCCCCTAAATGCTGAACGTTAAGCAGGGAATAACAACTACCATTTTTAAGGACTTTGAAATGTTCCGGCCTGGGAACAGAACCCATTGCCTTCCTCACCTAGGCGAACCCTCAACATTAAAGCTGAACGTGAGGTGTTGCCAGCAAGGCGCTAGGAAATAAAAGGTGGTTAGAAGATCCCAAATATTGCGATGGGTGCAGCAGATTTATTTTGGTCACTTTTGTGTCCCCAAATAGAGGACACCAAAGCAAATCCCCAGCAGGTGTATTCTTTTCCCATTCCCCAACCTGCAGGGGTGGAGTTTGTCATCAAAGTAGAGTCATTGTATATGTTGACTTTGGTGAATTGATTGGATTAAAAGGGAACGAAATAGCTTATTCCTTACCAAACTGATTAAGTACAATAAAGCAGGATATTTTGCGCCAAGATGATATTTTCGCGGGTCAATTACATGATCTGGAAAATATTATCCGCAGAATAATATGACAAGCCTAAAAAACAAATTTCATAACAGTAATGTCATCATGAAATAGCACACATTGGGTTGTAACAATTGATTCATATACATAAAGGGTAATATTTGAAAATAGATTGTATTACACATTTCATAACTATGATTGTATAAGACTATATTATTATTGTAAACATACAATAACTTGAGGATGGTACTGTGACTGGGGGGGGGGGCTTTTTATTTTGTAGCTGCTTGAATAAATACTCATGATCATTACTCCCCTTAAATTGATTTGAAAATATTGATATTGTTTTGATAATTATGACAATAAGTCCATGTCTTGCAATAAGCCACCCATATCTAGAGCAGTTCAGCCGAAGCACCTATACATATAATTTCATTGTCCTTTGATAACTGTACACCTAGGCCTATTTTAAGATAGAGAGTATGTTTTGGCTCAAAAAGTTAAATGCAGGTTTTGTAAATAAATTTAACTCCCTGTTAGAAAAGTTCAGTGGAAGTTCCTACAAATATAATTTCATTATCCCTGTTAAACAAATACTGTTAACTGAGTCATATTTGTTTTGAATGAGCAGATCAGAGAAGCTGAATTAAAGAAATCTCAGTGTCAGAAAAGGACAAACTCTAAAAAGTATAAGGAAGGATTGTCCAGGCAACACGATCTTCAGCGAATGTTAGACTGCTACAGACTTACAGGTGAGTTGGTAGATATTCTGCTGCTACAGACTGCTGCAGACTTGCAGGTGAGTTGGTAGATATTTTGCTGCTACAGACTGCTACAGACTTACTGGAGAGTTAGTAGATATTCTGCTGCTACAGACTGCTACAGACTTACAGGTGAGTTGGTAGATATTCTGCTGCTACAGACTTACAGGTGAGTTGGTAGATATTCTGCTGCTACGACCTGATTATAACCGTCCTGCCAAAAATAAAATACTTGTGTTTCCGCTATCATCCCAAAAACAATTAGGGTAAGTAGGCATTTTTTTTAATTTTGAAAATGGTTTTACTATGCTAGTTTTGTAACAGTGCATATCACTAAGTGCCAATAAAACTTTAAGGTAGGCACACAAATCTAGGGTAGGTACAAGATTTCTTTCATCCAGCCTCAGACAGCTATATATGATGATAGTTGTTAGACTGCTACAGTGGTCAACTATTGCAATAGTATTGATTGCTTAGCAACTTTAAATACAATGTATTTCAAATATTTGAATGTACAATATGTATTTGATGCCTTGGTTTTACTTGTATTGGTTAACTCCTCCTATTGAGGATCATTGTAACTTCACTGACATTATGTCACAGCTTTATTTCATTAGTTCACATGCGAATCCTTCGCTAAGTTATGTGTACTTGTATGATAAAGACAGTTGCATAAAAAAGTTAATGTTTAGTTTTTTCCAGACTTTCAATTATTACATCCTTTATGGAACATCAAAGTTAATTTCAACTGATCATCAAAACATGTACTGTAGAAACCATGAAAAATCAACTGGAATCTGTTATCAAAAGATTTTGTAAATTTTTTGCAAGTTCTAATCAAGTCAGAGGGTTTGAAATTCCCAGGTATTATACTGCAGTTTTGGAGAATGTAAAGGCTAAGACTTGGTAGTCTGATTTGGAAAAATACTTTTACCACAATTCATAACCGAGATATTTTTGCGATTCTCATTTCAAATCTCCTTACTGCTACATAAAAAGTTAATTAGGCTGTTTACTGGCTCTAGTACAGATTTAGATATGTACTTTGAAGATATTTTTATTGATATTAATGGTAAAATGGATATTTCTCTGAAGAATTCATTCCTTGAAAAATCCATTTAGTAGCAGGCAAGGTGCCTTATACGTGTAAATGATACCAGTGCGCAAAATTACTGATTCAGATATTGATGATGTCATTTGTTTTGTTACAGGCGTATCAGTGCACTCCCAAGAAAAGAACTCCTTTACTCTGTGTTTTGATAATAATTTTAAATCAAAGTTCTACGAGTCTTACTACGTAGAATTACTGAAGCGTGACAATGAGACATTTGAACTGAAGCACCACAGTCTTCCCAAGTTTGTGCCGGTGGCTGATCTAGCTGGACACCACCTTAAAGATGACCCGTCAGAATTTGCATCAAAGGTCAGCGATTACCTGTATGCCTATGTCACAAGGAGAGAGGAAGTTGCTCGAGTGCAGGTAAAAACTCGTCAGTATTGAAAACTATTTGTGTTTCTATGAAGTAAATTTTGAAGTTGAAAAATGAATCTAAATAAAACAGCAGGTGACAGGGCACTTGCTGACCATTGCTACATTATCAAGGCTCCATTATATTTGCTATAACTCACCTGCATCTAATGCAGTGATAACACTCTGCTGTCAAGACTACCACTCTCACTAAGCAGCTTAATTTTGTTGCAGTGTTGAACTATTATTTACATGTAGCAGTCTCTGATTTAGGAATCAATCCTGGAAAACAAGCTGCAGGTGACGGTGACTGATGCTGTGGATTTTGTGCAGTTATATCTGGGAAAGTTGACATCTAAGGTCTCCATCAAAGTGACCTTAACTTACCAGGATCTCCTCCATGTAACACCAACACGAGTCACCTTCCACACCTACATTGGTAAGAATGACCTTCCATACATAGATTGGTTAGATCCTTGTGAGCTTACATCAGTAAAAGGGACCTTCCATACCTTCATTGATAAGAAACTCCAGTGTTCATAATAGCTTAAGGAACCATCAATACCTACTTGGATAAAAATGACATTCATATCCATATAAACCTCTAGTGGTAGTTGAAATTTGAATTTCACTGGTTAAAGTAACATGTATTTTGAAAACTACATGTAAGTTTTGCTAAGCTAAGTAAATTTTAAAAAACCCAGCCAAATTTCTTTTTATATATTCTTAAACTTAAGATGATGGTATGGACTTGCCAGAAAATCTTCAGCCAAATCATGTCTTGAAGTGGAAGCAGCAACTGAAGGTTTTCCCTCTTTCACAAGCCATGGCTCCCATCATTGAGGCCTTTGAGTTTGTTCAGCTAGACAATGAGATGGCAATGGAGGAGGAAGAATCACTAGAAGACAGCTCGTGATTGATAAAAACAGTCATTCTGATTGGTCATGTGAAGCTTAATTGCGTTAATATGGAAAATAAGAGAAATTTTTATCGAGAAGTTTTCCTGTTCATATATGTAAGAGCTCTTTACTCTATACACAAATCATGTACATATTAAACGTGTCACAAGGTATCAGGACCGTCTGGTCTCTTTGAAAACGAGCTTAACAAAGGGACCAGTTGAAACGTTGGGACACATTAAATTGTTTGTGTATATAGTAAAACTTTGATTATATCATATTTCCAAACTGAATGAATCTTATTGAAGATAATGAACATTGTAATTGAAACAGAAACCTTCTAACAACATTTTGTACAATGCAGTACATTTGTACTGGTGTGTGTTAACAATTTTACATGGTCATTGATGATATACTGGAACATAGTGTCAAAACTCAAAACTCGAACATCAGAATAGCTCACAATCCGGTAAAGAACAACTTACTGGGTGCAACTATAAATTGAGTACAGCATTATGACATTATTTTAACATAACATGTAAATATCAAATGTTGCTTATTCACTTGATATCATCACGTCACTATGTTATCAATATGGAAATTTTATTGTGTAAATTATGCAATACATTTTAAGAAGTGTTAAATATAATCACGATTTCCATTTTGTTATCGGATATTGAATTACATACTGTGTATACTTGTACAGTATTTCTCTGTACTTCAAATAAAATTATATTGTATTGTTTGTCCTTCATCTTTTGCACTTCCATTTCTTTGTTGTGCTGTAAACTGAATTTAACCCATGTTCTGCTAGCTACAATGTATGTAAAGGGATATATAAGGGAAAATGTTTATACCCTTTGAAACAATTTAGGGAATAATAAATGTAAAAGTGGAAAAAAGTGCAGGAATTCTGTGATTGATCTAACCCCACACATTGTTCAGATGTTGGTCACAGTATACTTGGAAAAGCAGCTCAAAGATTTCACAAGAATTTCAAAAATGTGATCATTATGAGACTTATGGCTGTTATGGAAAAAACTGACAATAATTAATGAATTTGTTGTTAAATAATGACTTAAAAAAGTCAGTGCTTTAATATTGATTTTCAGAGAAGGATAACATTTGTTTACTTCAGAGATGTAATTTTATGGCAGTTTCCAAGGGGAATAACTACTATTTATGAACACTATCCTTAATGCAGAAGTAAATTTAATGTAGGAAAATCCCTGATAATACTGTAAACATCACTGAAAGGACTCCCTGGTCAGTACTTACTGAAAGGACTCCCTGGTCAGCACTTACTGAAAGGAATCCCTGGTCAGTAGTTACTGAAAGGACTCCCTGGTCAGTTCTTACTGAAAGGACTCCCTGGTCAGTAGTTACTGAAAGGACTCCCTGGTCAGTACTTACTGTAAGGACTCCCTTGCCCAGCACTAAATGAAAGGACTCCCTTGCTCAGCACTTACTGAAAGGACTCCCTGGTCAGTACTTACTGTAAGGACTCCCTTGCCCAGCACTTAATGAAAGGACTCCCTTGCTCAGCACTTACTGAAAGGACTCCCTGGTCATCAGTTACTGAAAAGACTCCTTGCTCAGCACTTACTGAAAGGGCTCCCTGGTCAGTACTTACTGAAGGGAATGCCTGGTCAGCACTTACTGAAAGGACTACCTGGTCATCAGTTACTGAAAAGACTTCCTGCTCAGTACTTACTGAAAGGACTCCCTGGTCAGTACTTACTGAAATGAATCCCTGGTCATCAGTTACTGAAAGGAACCCCTGGTCAGTACTTACTGAAAGGAATCCCTGGTCAGCACTTCCTGAAAGGACTCACTGGGCAGTACTTACTGAAAGCACTCCCTGGTCATCAGTTACTGAAAGGAATCCCTGGTCAGTAGTTACTGAAAGGCCTCCCTGGTCAGCAGTTACTGAAAGGACTCACTGGTCAGTAGTTACTGAATGGACTCCCTGCTCAGCACTTACTGAAAGGACGCCCTGGTCATCAGTTACTGAAAAGACTTCCTGCTCAGCATTTACTGAAAGGACTCCCTGGTCAGCAGTTACTGAAAAGACTCGCTGGTCAGTAGTTACTGAAAGGACTACCTGGTCAGTAGTTACTGAAAGGAATCCCTGGTCAGTAGTTACTGAAAGGGCTCCCTGATCAGGAGTTACTGAAAGGACTCCCTGGTCAGGAGTTACTGAAAGGACTCCTTGCTCAGCACTTACTGAAAGGATTCCCTGGTCATCAGTTACTGAAAGAACTCTCTTGCTCAGCACTTACTGAAAAGTCTCTCTTGCTAAGCACTTACTGAAAAGACTCCCTGGTCAGCAGTTACTGAAAGGACTCACTGGTCAGTAGTTACTGAATGGACTCCCTGCTCAGCACTTACTGAAAGGAATCCCTGGTCAGCACTTACTGAAAGGAATCCCTGGTCAGTAGTTACTGAAAGGAATCCCTGGTCAGTAGTTACTGAAAGGAATCCTTGGTCAGCACTTACTGAAAGGTCTCCCTGGTCAGTAGTTACTGAAAGGAATCCCTGGTCAGTAGTTACTGAAAGGACTACCTGGTCAGTAGTTACTGAAAGGAATACCTGGTCAGCACTTACTGAAAGGACTACCTGGTCATCAGTTACTGAAAAGACTTCCTGCTCAGTACTTACTGAAAGGACTCCCTGCTCAGCACTTACTGTAAGGACTCCCTGGTCAGCACTTACTGAAAGGTCTCCCTGGTCAGTAGTTACTGAAAGGCCTCCCTGGTCAGCAGTTACTGAAAGGACTCACTGGTCAGTAGTTACTGAAAGGACTACCTGGTCAGTAGTTACTGAAAGGAATCCCTGGTCAGTAGTTACTGAAAGGAATCCCTGGTCAGCACTTACTGAAAGGAATCCCTGGACAGCACTTACTGAAAGGACTCCCTGCTCAGCACTTACTGAAAGGACTCCCCGGTCAGTAGTTACTGAAAGGACTCCCTGGTCAGTAGTTAGTGAAAGGACTCCCTGGTCAGCACTTATTGAAAGGACTCCCTGCTCAGCACACACTTAAACGACTCCCTATGAGTGCTGATCATTGAACTCTTCAGTAAGTACTGACCAGGAAACTCTGTCACTGAAAGGACTCCCTGGTCAGCAGTTACTGAAAGGACTCACTGGGCAGTAGTTACTGAAAGGACTCCCTGCTCAGCACTTACTGAAAGGAATCCCTGGTCAGCACTTACTCAAAGGACTCCCTGGTCAGTACTTACTGTAAGGACTACCTTGCCCAGCACTTAATGAAAGGACTCCCTTGCTCAGCACTTACTGAAAGGCCTCCCTGGTCAGCAGTTACTGAAAGGACTCACTGGGCAGTAGTTACTGAAAGGACTCCCTGGTCAGCACTGACTGAAAGGACTCCCTGGTCAGCACTTACTGAAAGGACTCCCTGCTCAGCACCTACTTAAACGACTCCCTATGAGTGCTGATCATTGAACTCTTCAGTAAGTACTGACCAGGAAACTGTCACTAAAAGGAATACCTGGTCAGCAGTTAGTATATGGATTCCCTGATCAACACTTGCAGGCTAAGGGTCATCCTAAATTTCATGTATCTAAGGGTAATTGGCTAAAGAAAAATCGGTTATTCTGTTTTAGTTTGATAGCCATCAATTACAATTGTGTTATCAGACGGATGTCGCACACAGCGGTGATATATATCAGATTATAAACGGAAGTTATATACCGAACTAATCATTTTGTGTCTGAAAAAACACCCAAGACCCGTAGCATGTGTTAATAGCGACCTGAAGCAGAATACAGTTGTTTTCCTGATTAATTACCAGTATGACATCGATAGCGGAAGATGAGCCACTTTTGGAAAGAGCTGACGATGGTTCTCAAACAAATTCAGGTAAAGTAACCCTTTTTTCCCCGATCAGATCTCATTAGGCATATACACTATAGCGCATATGTACATGGGAGATCAGCTGAACTATTTGAAGCAGAAAGCTAATGAGAAATGATCAATCATCTTATGGAGAAAAAATATCAGTACCTGGAGAGAGATGTTTGTCATTGAAGTGAATGAGAGATTGCATGGCCATTAAATATAACGTTTCTCTCACAATAATTCAGAATGTAATGCTTGAAAAGCCTGTTTACAGGTTATATTTCAGGTTTTATCATCATTTTTACTGATAGGTGATAAAAAGGTTGAAAGATTCCTGTTTAATATCAACGTGTGCTCTTTCATAACTGAAGGACACAACCATATTATGTTGGGGCGGTCGGGTGAAGCAGTGGATAGCGCACTTGCCTTTCACCAAGGCGGCCGGGGTTCGATTCCCCGATCGGACACGAAAAGGTATGGGGTCACCTGCCCAACCACGTTGGTGTCAAGGAACTCCGGGTTTCTCCGAGTACTCCAGTTTCCTCCCACAATAAGTCTTAATTGTTGTAAAATAATAAAAAAAAATTACATAAAAATATTATAAAATAAAACATTGTAACCGCGTTTGTTTTAGTTTCGCGATTGTTCGCTAATCACGCAAGTTCGTGTATTGTTAATACGCTGTTGAATTACTCTAACAACTACGTAAACTTTCGTTAGGAGATGTATTTTTGGTTTCTCATGAATTTAAGGGCGCTTTTTGTCTTAACAACCCCTAATCTGTGTATAAAACTATTATCGAAGCAGTATATAAAACAAGCCGATGAATAGTTAAGATTTTTAGTATATATTATTACGGTAGAGTCTCTGTTCTACCGATAACTGACTGAAAAAGTTATTTTACTGTTAAATCGTTGTTATTTTCTGTTTATTTTATTCATACAAGAACTATAATAAATCGCAGGCTGTTTAGGGAATTTGAACATGTGGATCCCTAGAAATGATAAAAAAAAAAATATGACAGGATCGGAAGCAAATTGGTCAAGATCTTTATAATCAAGCTGTCTGAAAGGTGTAGGATTCGAATCCTCCTAGCGTACGTAACGCATGTTGTTTTTTGCAGAAATGATAATTAGGGCCTTTAATAGGTATGCATTTCTTTCGCGTAGTACTTGTTGCCATAGTAAAGAGCAAGGAACTCCAAATGAGTAAAAAAGTTGAATAAATTGGAACTCTTTTCTTTTGGAGATACACAACACGACACGGCGGGAAACTACCTTAAACAAGGCCGATACAGGAAGAGAAAACGATTTGTTGAGACTGTTATCAATATGATGTTGTTTTTATTTAGGTCCATGTTGAACTGACTACCTAATTGATGATAAATAACTTTTATGAGATAAAAGGATGATGTCATATGTATTTTGACGGCTGTATCCATCACATATATCCTTAACCTATTGTTTATGTTGAACGCATTCATTTCGACAATCATTTGATTAAATATATTTTGATAACGGCCTTAGGCAAATCAACACCAGAATATGATTTACTACTGTACATGTAGGGTCATATGATAGTCAAAAGGCCCAGGGGCCTTAATAGCTCACCCGGATTTTTTTAATTTTACTTTTGAATTAAACACCTATTGAATATCGTAATTTTTTATAAAATTGTGCAGGTAATATAAGCTGTAACGATGATCGTATCAATAGGGACAGGAAAGTCATCAAGGACATTAATGCATGTGTTTCTTCATGGTCACCAATTTCCATATGGTTAAAGGGTGGGGATCACAACTCTTCCCATGTTGTGAATAAGGGAGTAAGTACAAGGGGTGAGACAGGGCCTCGGGGCCAATCCTAGTAACATGACGGTATGACCCAGAATATAAGCCCCCAGGGGGTGGGGCTGGATGCCCAGGCTGATCATGGTAGCATGAACAAAATTGTCTCTTCAACATTAGCAATTGTATATGTGGCAATTGGGAGGGCATTAGATATGTTTGCATGATGTGATGAAGGAAGCTTCAAACCAAATATCAGGGATCTAGGCCTTTCAGTTCTTTAGAAGAAGTCGTTTGAAGTTTTTGACATTTTGACCTATGCTATGTTGAAAGTAGGTCAATGCTTGTTTTGTTTCTAAAGTTTGTTGAGATCCACCCGGGAGGCTACCAGTATAAAAACATTACCTTAGGCCTTTTGAATATCCAGAAGAACTCTTTTGAAGATTTTGACATATCTGACACATGAGACCTTGTACGCAGGTAAAGCTCATTTTTGTCCACAAACTCTGTTAGACTCTGTTATAGACTCTGTTAGACTTTGTTAGACTCTGTTATCTGTTAGACTCTGTTAGACTCTGTTATCAGTTAGACTCTGTTAGACATTGATAGACTTTGTTAGACTCTGTTAGACTTTGTGTTAGACTCTGTTAGACTTTGTTAGACTCTGTTAGACTCTGTTAGACTTTGTTAGACTCTGTTAGACTTTGTGTTAGACTCTGTTAGACTTTGTTAGACTCTGTTAGACTCTGTAAGACTCCAGCCAAGTATCATGACCCTAGGCCCTTTGAATCTCCAGAAGTAAAATGTCGAAATGTGAATCTTGAGCAGAGTAATCTGTGATATCTTTTATATGAAGTTTTTGAGGATAAATCCGACTCGCGTCTCGAAGTTAACTGTTATTAATAGATACAGCGTCAAAAGACGATGCATCAGAATGCGACATTTAAAAAGTCGGCAAATAAGCTTCACCAGAGGACAAAACAAATCCAACAGAAGATGTGCGCAGTAAGTATCCATTAGAATACCGATAATCTGTTGGATTATTTGACCACTAACCTCAGAAGAATATTATAATATGGTCCTTTATGGACATTTTGTTTTGTCCTAGGCCTAGCAGTGTCATTTTCAAGGAACAATGTTTCATTTCTGTTGAGAACTACCATATTTTGCTGTGTTTGCCAATGTTCTTTCAAAATCGTATTCTTGAGGAATTAATAGAAACAGCTGTGTGCAATTTGTTAATTGCGACTCATAACGTATTCGCAATAAGATTGGTATTTATCTCAGATGGAAACTATTCACCGTAAAAACTACTGCTTTAAGCGTTTCCTTGTTTTACCAGGACCATCTTTCGGGACTCGTCATGAGATAGCCGGACTGGCGTTTGTTGGATTCTTTTGTTCATACTGTCTGCGCTTCAACCTCAGTGTAGCTATAGTAGCTATGGTGAAGAATAGAGAAACGCCTGCGAACTGGACCGGGGGTGTTTGTACTGCATCGAATAGTTCTTTAAACCAGTCTTCTATCAGACAACCGGTGAGTTCTTTTAGGAAAACCACTTCTCGACAGTCCTGTTCACACTGGCTATTTTCAGTCCGTATACCCAGGGATAGAAGTCAACTAAATATTTCAAAATGTTGCAGGAACGAAATGTAATGAGAACAATTCCTCAGCCATTACTAATCCTTAAATATTTCACATGTGTGACAACATTTACTGCGAAGTCACCGCGCAGTACATCTTTCATGCGCAGCCAGCGCAGCGTCTGATGTACGACCACGCTTATAGACATACGTTGATACATATTATGGAATAAAAAACACACGAAGTAAACGTTATAGGTCAGTTAACGAGATGAAACTAAATAGTGATTCGGGTGTTCGTTGATGGCAACCATTGGCGAANCCCACACACACACACACACATTTGACTGCATCTTTAACGTTTGGTAATACATACAGTATGCCAGAAATGAACTGCACTGCACCATACATCGTCGGTGTTAGGGGCCAACACGTTGGACATCTAAATTGTCTAAGCTATGTTGTGAAATAGAGGGACAGGTGCGTGAAACTCCTTAATATATAAATTAAAAAAGATATAGTACTGGCTAGGAACTATTTATATGATAAATGATACATTATTAAAAAACAACAACATATAAAAGCTAAAACGTAACACATGCCATTGTCTATTGCTTTGTTTCAGGGCGACTTCGACTGGGACGAAAAGTCACAAGGCGAAATTTTGATGTCGTTTTTCATCGGATACCTTCTGTCACAGCTTCCCGGGGGTTTGTTAGCAGAGACCTATGGAGCCAAGCATCTGTTCGGATTCAGTGTTCTCTTTCCAGCAGTGATGGCTCTCATCACGCCTGTAGCCGTCAACCATTTCGGAAAGATGGCGCTAATAACCTTGCGTATCCTTCAAGGCCTGGGTGAGGTATGGTTGTTCTTTTCTCCTCATTTGCAATACATTCAAACCTGTTCATGCCTTTATGGGGAGGTCTTACATAGTCGATGCCTGTGGACAAATCAATTCGACAACTTTCCATTTATGTCAATAAGATACATGTATCTTGAAATGAAACCTGCTTATGCGACCAACTCTACAAAGAGACAACCTATGTAAAGAAACCACTTTTAATGTTCCCCATTGCAGTAATGTCATTGTGATCTGAATCTGTATTAAAAGGCTACCTGGGTTAAGAGACTACTTTTAATATTCCCCACTGCAGTGATTCATTCTGACCTGAACCTCCTTTAAGAGACAACTTGTGTTAAGACTTTTAGTGTTCCCTATTTTAGTGATTTCGTTATGAACTAAACATTTAGTGGAAACCAACTGTGTTACGTGGGATGTTTGGCAATGGTTCCCGTTTTATCCACACTTTCATCTCGAGTTTGGTTTTGAAGAAAAACATTTTGTTTGTCTATTTCTTCCCAGTTTCATCTCTGTTATTAGGGCCCCGTATCGAAGATACGGATGCCCTATAGTAATCACTCTGTCTGTTTGTCTGTCTGTCTGTCTGTCTGTCTCTGTCTGTCTGTCCGTCCACAAATTCTGTTTCTGGCTGATAACTTTTGTATCTATTGACCGATGTTCATGAAACTTGGTCAAGATGTTCAGTTTACAAAAATACACATTGAGGTTAAAAATCAAGGTCAAAGGTCAAGGTCATTAGGTTCAAAGGTCAAGGTCAAATTTTACATCTTTTCACTGATGAACATTTTGTTATGACATCATGAAGCAAAGTTGATCAGAATTAAACAAGGAGTCAACTGACCAAAGGTCAAGGTCAT